CGCGGAGCCCCCGGGACCCCCGGCCATGGAGGGCATGGACGTGGACCTGGACGCGGAGCTCATGCAGAAGTTCAGCTGCCTCGGCACCACCGACAAGGACGTGCTGATCGGCGAGTTCCAGCGCCTGCTCGGCTTCCAGCTCAGCCCCGCCGGCTGCGCCTTCTTCCTCGACATGACCAACTGGTGCGGGCCCGGGGCCGGCGGGGGGGGTGCGGGCGGGACGGGCTGAGGGGGCTCGCGGGGCTGAGGGACCGCGGGCCCGGCTGCCCCCGGCCCGGCCGCCCCAGGGCCCCGGGCACCGCCAGGGCGGGGGGAACGGGCGGTGTTTGTGCTGGGCCCTCTGACCCCTGCCCGGGCCGGGCGGGCGGCGCGGGGCCGGGGGCCGCTCCCATGGCGGTGGGGAAGCGGGACGAGGCTGGGGCGGACGGGGCTGACTCTCGACCCCGGCCCGGGGTGCGGGTTTGCCAGTTCGCCGGTCCAAGGGCCGCGGAGCTGTTGGAGAGTGACGAACCGATACACGGGGCGTGTGACCCGCGGGCAGGGAGCGGGGACTGCGTTCAGGGACGGGCTGTGGCGCCCCGACATTGAGACAGCTTCAGAGGAAGGAAAATTGTGGCAGAAAGGCGCTGTGGGAGCCTGGAAGTGGCCACGGTGCACGTGTGAGAGTTACCGGGGTGTTTKGGGAAAACTCAGCGGCTGCCTATGGACTGAGGGTCTCTCTAAGTCCTTTGACACTCGGTGCATGTTTGTCTTTATAAAGATTCTCTGCCACTGCCTAAAGAAAAACTAGGCATAGGCTATCAGGGAAGCTGCAGTTCGAGACAAACAGGGCAGATACTCAGTGCAAGTGTGAAAAATAAACTAGGAGTGTTCTGGTGCAGTGAGCCCAGGGACTGTAAAAAGAATGTTGTGGAACAGCTGCTGTGTGAGTCGGGGGGTTTGGCTCGTTAGAGCGTTTCTACCTCTCTGCCCGTCTCCAAAGTGAGTTGACCCAAAAGCTCTGGATCGTGGGGGTCGCAGGAGAGCAAACAAATGCTGTGTATTTCAGACACGGTGAACAGAGATCACTTAGCTAAGCTTTGCTTGGAGGTATAACATCAAACCCAGAAACCTCGGCTTTGAAACCTGAAATCCACGGGGACGTCGGGATATCAACAGTTGGGAGAAAACTTGTGTGGAATTGTTGAGCTTATAAACAGTGATAAGACAACTTCGTCAGTTTTTTGCTTTTGCTTTTCCCTCCTCCTACAGCTCTGAATTTTATTTTAGTGGCAAAAATACATCTGCAGAGGGAGCAGGGGAATAGCAAGTAATTCCTTGTGTTTTGTAAGCTGACACAATGCTAAAGAAGGTCTYGCGGAGTTCAGGAGTTTGCATGGAAGAAATGGTTGGTTCCCAGGAGATGCTTTCCCATCTCATCCATGTGTTGGTGATATGACTAAAACTGRTACTGCAGTGTAATCCTGGCGAGTTCTGTGAGATTCCTGGGGAAAGCAGGGAGCAGAGCTGAACCTAAAAGTTACTCCTGAAGATTCTCTGTGTAGCCAGAGTGTTCCTGGTTTGTGCTGAAGCAGCTCTTTTTCATTCAGGAGTATTGACTTGTTTGAAATAACAGCATTTCAAATCCAGCCTCAGAACCAAGGGCTTTTTCAAACTTTCAGTTGCAATTGAAGAAGATCTAAAACTATTAAAAGAGCTTTAATTTCCCAACTTCAGTAGCTAGTTTGGTTCTGAAAACATTGGTTTTGAAATTTTTCCTAAGGTATTAATTGATGAGCCTTGTGGGTGGATGGGCAYGTGCCTGTTGGGGTGGTGTGTTTAAATAAACACAGCCTGGGACTGAGAGGGCTCAGAGCCCGTGTGAGTGCCCATTCTTAGCCTGGCAGGGGCTGCTCCTTCTCTCCCAGGTTGGTGCCATTCCTTGTGCTGGTGTGTCCAGTTGGCAGCTCTGCCCTGTGCCTGTCCCACTGCCCAGCTCCCACCCCTTCCTGTATGGCCTCAGGGTTGTTGGCCTGGCCCGGCTGACCCTGCACTAACCCTGCTGTCCCTCAGCAGGGACAATCAGGGCACGTGTTCCTGTTCTGGAAGCACCTTTCTCCTGTCGTTGAGGGGCCCTGTGTGATCCACACTCCCCAGGTGATTCAGGCAGTGCCCTACTAAATTTGCCTTCTATGGCCTGGAATTAGGGTCAGAATCTTCTGACACCAGCATGTCCTGCAAATAATTTGCCTTGACGAGACCATCAGGTCACTTTTCCATGTGTTAAAGGTATGGCACGTTCCTTCAGGGATGATCCCTTCCTTCTGCCTCAGGATGGATGTTCGCCTGCAGGAAATGGTGAGGGAGCTCAGAAGTGCACACACTGGATAATCCAGGTTCCCTATATCWATGTCCCATGTGTGAATTAATTAACAAAGATGTAAATAATTTTACTAGAACTTGTTCCCAGGTGTGAAAGCTGCTCTTTGGCAATAACTATCATCTCCAGATCTGCAGTTCCTTCCCCACTTTGTGCCTTTCATGTACAGTGGGGAGCACTCAGAGCTTAATGTGCTTTGAAGGACCATTTCCAACAGCATCATTAGTAATTGTGGTCAACGGATTTACAGTGAATTAGCAGTAACGCTGAAATAAAGGAATTATTTTTCAATAGCTTGTTTGGCCAATTTAGGGGGGAAAATTAGTGGCTGATTGGGGAGGAATACCTGTAAGTAGCCTCTAAAAGTCTGTATCAATTTTTCTAGTTCCCAGGAATGCTCAGTGCCCCTTCAGACCTCTGTCAGGCTTGGGCAGTGCTAAGGAACTGCCAGCTGGTTTTATTAAGTGCTGCAGAAATGCTTTGGGTTGAACATATGCATCCAAAGTTTCTGAGGTTGTTCCTTGATCTGCAGGAAATACAGGTTAAACCCTTTGTTTTGCCCTGGTATTTATTAAACACTTTCCTAGAGTTCTGTCTGTTTTCTGTGCTGACTTCTTGCCTTCCTGCTGCATAAATCCGATTTTGCCTTCCCCAGCAGCAGCACGCACCATCGTGCTTTACCATTTGATTATTTATTTTCCTTTCAGAGTGGCTGCAGAGAGAGAGGCTGAGCTTTCACTTTCAGCCTAGAACCAAAAGTGAACTTTTTATTCAAAAAGCRGAACCAAAACTGAACTGTTTTGGTGCCAAAACGTTTCTTCTTGGGAGGAAACCCTGGGTAGTGGAGTGGGAGGGCATTTTGGTGCATCCAGCATCAAATCCCCCTTGGTTCTGCTCCCTCCCYTCCAGATGTTGGGCCCCACCACAACTGGGAGGCAGGGGGCTCATGGGAGGGAATTTTGTGGTGCACTGAGGTCCCACGTGTTGCCTGCAGCTCCACAGTGGTCTGTGAGATGGGCAGGAGTGAGTCTGAACCCCTTTGGCCTTGGCCTGCCTTCACAGGGAGCTCCTGGAACTCCATAAAAGTCATTGGATTCCTCTAAAGCTAGTGTGGAAATTGTATTGGGACAAGAAAAAGGAATAATTTTCTTTTAACTGGAGTGTGTGCCAGCTTTGTGGGTGAGAGGCTTGGAACTGCTTTAATTCCGTGAGAAAGTGAATTAGTTTGMAGTAGTTAATGGTGATGGATTTAAAATCCATATATTTAGTGCAGTTGGCTGAGAGAATCCCAGTTTGGAAGAACTAATGCATATTTCAGTAATTTACATRTAATATTTCTTTACATTCTCTTYTCAGCTTTTGTTTAGAAAGCTGAATTTTTATTAGAGCAGTAGGTGTGATATTTAATTGAAATGTGTCAGATAATGATGGTTTCAATTGTGTGGGGGGAAAAATCATTATTGTAACAAAGCTTTTTGGATCCAGCTTTAGGTGAAAAAGGTCATTATTTGTAAGGYTGTCAGATTTCTTCTGGAGGTCCTAGTGTTTCTTTTCATCTGTTTMGGAGAATTTGTACCTGTGTCRTGGTTTAACTAGTACTGCCAAGGTGGTGTGTTGCATGAAGGTGAGTTTATTTATACTGCAAAAATCTGCAGTAAAACCTTGTTCACTCTTGTGTCAGGTGTGGGGCAGTTCTGTGCTAAAACTGCCTTATAGATGCACGTTTCTRTCCCTWTGGGTGGGCTGTTCAAATTCTTTATATCCAGTGGAACACATGTATTGCCCAGAAGTGGATGTACTTGATTTGGGGTCTGAAGACATGATTTAGCTAATAGGGGTTTAATTGSTTTTCCCAGGACTAAAAATACTTGAGGTATATTTGTGTAAGMAGTCAGGACACTCAGAATTTAACAGAACAGACGGGGTCAAGGGGATTCACTCACACAGGATGT